CTCTTAAAGACACCCAGCGAGGGTGCCAGGCAGATCTCCAGCGGCAAGCTGTTCCAAAGTAGAGGGGCCACCGCCGAGAAAGCCTAGGTTTCTTGTTCTAGCCCAATTTCTTATTCTTTCTTTCCAGGCCTCTCTCAGCGTCAGGCCCCCCAGCCGTCTTTCCTCGCTCTGGCGAGTGACTCAAGTAGATCTAGGTGGGAGAAGGCATTCTGCCAAGTATCGAGGTCCTAAACCATTTAAGGCTTTATAAATCATTAACATTTTGAAGTCAATGCGGAAACGAATGGGCAGCCAATGCAAAGCAGCCAGAATGGGAGAGATATGCTGGAATTTTCTTGCTCAACTAAGTAATCTGGCTGCCGCATTCTGCACCATTTTAAGCTTCCGCATTAATCTCAAAGGTACAGTCGTGCCCCGCTTAACGATTGCCTCACTTAATGAGGAAATCGCTTTATGATGAGGTTTTTGCAATCACAATTGTGATTGCAAAACGATGGTCTAAACAAGGGAATTTCGCTTAGCGATGATCGGTTCCCTGCTTTGGGAACCGATTTTCACTTTACGACGATCAAAAACAGCTGATCGTCGGTTTCAAAATGGCCACCAGCTGAAGAAAACGCCCCCCCTCTGTGCTTAGGGACGGATTCCTCACTGCACAGGCATGGAAAATGGCTGCCCGTATGGAGGATCTTCGCTGGACAGTGAGTTTTCAGCCCTTTGGAACACATTAACCAGGTTTTTATGCGTTTCAATAGCTTTTTTATTTTCGCTTCACGATGTTTTTGCTCTACAGCGATTTCGCTGGAACAAATTAACATCGTCAAGCAAGATACCACTGTGGTCTTTTTCAAGGTAAGTGAGACATTTAAGGAGTGGCTTTTACCACTCCCACTCCTCCAGTGAATTTCTATGGCCAAGGGGGAGATTTGAATCCTCTTCTCCAGAGTCCTAGTCTATCACTTTATCCACTACACCACACTGAGAGTAACACACACACACACATACACACACAGACAGACAGAGAGAGAGAGAGAGCATATATAAACACATACACACATGTATTCACCCACAAGCAAATAAATAAGTTTAAGAACAAGCTTAATGACTGAGATTAACAGAAAGAGAGAGAGAAAGAGGGAGAGAGAGGGAAGGAGGGAGAGCATATATAAACACACACACACATGTATTCACCCACAAGCAAATAAATAAGTTTAAGAACAAGCTTAATGACTGAGATTCCACGTAGATGCCCTTCTTGAGGAACATCCCATGGATGGAATTGAAGATGCACCAATATGGCATTTATGTTTGTTCTGCAATACAAAGCTGGTCTCTGAGTGTAGTATCCTGCACTGGTCCCACGTGTGCCATCATCAGCAGGTGCTTTATAAAGATTGACCTTTTTTGGACTTTTCACTTCTATGCCGTTGGGCGTAAAGGAAAGGCGCACAGCACAACCGCAGCCCAAGGCTGTTCCGTACCAAGCTGGGCCCACCAAATCATGTGGGGTTAAACAGCTGGGTGGGAGAGTGGGAAGGGGGTATGGCTTGCTGCAAGATACTACCTCTAGACAACCACAGTTTTTAAAGATGCCTGATCTGCCCTCTTAAAAGGGTACGTTTTTCCATTCTGAGCCATATGTAGAAATTCCTGTACATTGCTAATACACAAAACTTTGACAAGAAGAGGTCTACATCCATTTCCGTTCATGTGTGAGTGTCTGAATCACAGTTTTTTAAAGATGCCTGATCTGCCCTCTTAAAAGGGTAAGTTTTTCCATTCTGGGCCATATGTAGAAATTCCTGTACGTACATTGCTAATACACAAAACGTTGACAAGAAGAGGTCTACATCCATTTCCGTTCATGTGTGAGTGTCTGAATGCACTCATACTGTATATAGATTGATGTGGGCAGCAAGAATCCCTAACAGTGAAGCGAATGGCACCTATCTTTATTGCAAAAGTATCTGCATACTTTCCAGAGTGCATATATATGAGATGGAGAACAGCCACCAACAGATTCTTTTTTTAATTTTTTACGGTATAATAGGATAAACCACACACGTCTCCAAAGATCTGGAATCTGGGTTTACTTTTCCTTGTGCACAATGTTTAGGAAATCCAGTCACTTAAGATTTTTCAAAGGTTTCTGGGAACGCTGTTCCCAAAAAAAGAGCTGAATGGTTGGTTTGACCGGCCTTCAGTACCTCTGGTTGGGCTGAACCCAATGGTCAATGCCACTTACAAGTTTCTGGATCAACATCACAGTAATGAAGCAAATGTCTGACATCTATCTCTCTGGAATCATGCTGTGGCTCCTTTTTCTGTATATCCCACCTGACACACCCCTGCGAAGAGATTCAATGGCCCTGAGATTCAGTATGCCTCTTCCGAGGGAGCCACGTCCAGCCCTACCACCAAACCGCCACAGCTTCTGTACTGATGTCCAACCACAACACGAAGCAATAACCTTATCTGACAAGGGCCAGACTATTTGCAACCACTACTTCTGTCCTGTCTGCACCTCTCTGCTTGAGAGAAGCAGGTAAGCTAACAAACCTAGCAAAGCAAATAGTTTTAGCCTTGCCAGATTCGCCATTATTCTCCGTAAGTCTTATAAACAGTTTCATATTGCAGAGAGTCTGTCAGAAGTTGGAGCATCGGTGGCTTGATCTAAACTACTTCTTAAGGCCTTTTGTTAAGGCCAAAGGCCATGGCAGTTACTTCGAAAATAAAAAGGAAGGAAGATGAGAGAATGAAGTTTGTTTGTTTTTGTTAAAACATGACATTGGGGAAGACATCTGGAAGACAACAGCAGACAACTCAGTTGCTTCTGCCATGTTCCAATACCATACAAGCAATCTGTCGCTTTAGGTTTTCTTGGATCTCCTGGGGTGTTCAAATGTAGCTCCTAAATCTACTCTGGTTCATTCAAATGTAGCACCTTTTTCCATTCGCCCAAAATCCAGGCCACCTCTTCTATCTTCAGATGATGGCCACAACTGACAGAAAGGCAAGGCAGCTGAATGGCAAATGAGGGGTCAAGGGCCCCTCTGATTTTTGTACACCATTTTGAGAAAGGAGAAATGCGACTTGTCATCTTACACTACCGAGTTGGCAGTCATCTAAACGTAGTCATGTGACACACTTTTTGTGACACAACAGAGTAACGTTACGTTCTTTGTATTTAACAACCAGAGATCTCTGGTCAACTCCACCTTTCAAAAAATTTATAAAAACTTGGTTGTTTAGAGAGGCATTTCCATCAATGGAAACCCGTTGAAAACTTCAGCCACAGAATCAATCCTACCGCCTTTTAAATATTTAAGGTCTGATTGTTAATTATGTAATTGTTCAATTATGGTTTAATTTTATGATGTTTATATGTTGATTTTATTTTATATTTGTAGTATTGTTTTACTGTTTGATTATACTATGAACTGCCCAGAGTGGCCTTAGACTAGGATGGTATACGTATCAAATCAAATCAAATCAAATCAAACGAATGAATGAATGAGTGAATGGATGAATGAATAAATAAATAATAGCTATTATGACTTTAGTGATGATTTAGAAGTAGAAACAAAAGAGGAAATTAGTCTATTCACAGAAAAGGCTAACATGCTGTCTGTGTAACATAATAAAACCACACAACAGAAAAATAGCCAAGCTAAAAAAAGTGTGGCAGGCAGTGCCAGATTCAAAAAATATAATCAACTGGGCTGCTTTGAGCAAGAACTCAAGCAAAATAAAAACTGACAACCGGGACGGGAAATGCTGAACAGCCTTAATGCCACCTTGAAGGAATCTCTGCTTGAAGTCAGCAGGACAGTGATTTTGGAAGACAAAGTGTCAAGCCCAGAAATGGTCTGCACAGCAAATTAGAATGCCAGCTACTACGTAAGAATTCACGCCTGGATACCTACAATCAGAGACCAGGTTAAAAGTTACTGTCACTCATCGAAAACTAGACTAATTGCTGTAAGAGCTTAGGTCAATGAGAACAGAAATCTTGGACTCTGAGGGAGACACGTGTGAAATTCAAGAACGTAATTGTCCGATTTCCCTCAGGGCCAAACAGTTACAAGAACATAATTGTTGTCCGATTTCCCTCAGGGCCAAACAGTTTGTTACAGATACTGCATCATTAGAAGACGGGTTCTGATAGCATTCTAGTTCTAGGCAGACGTTTACATCTGAGCAAAGAGACTTGCAAACCAAGGGTCTGCTTTGCTCCCAATGACCTTTCATAAAATAAGCTAATTTGCACCCTATGGAAGATGTCAAAACCTCCTGCTATGATAAAAAAAAGTTCTTGGCACTTAGGAGATTTCTTCATCTAATGACAGGTTATCCGCAATGTACTGGTTTGGCCTTCAGCACAGGGGCAAATGTTGTTGTTTTTTTATTATTATGAGTGCTCCGCCCAAACCCGTATGCTAAACCACATCTGGATTCCCTGGCACCCTGGTGTCCACCTCCTTAGATATACGTATTGCTGGGGACCTGGAAATGATTCACTGCATCGCGCATGGTGCAAGCAGAAAAAGAACAAAGCTTACAAACACCAGAATTTTCATCATGGACACAGTCTCCTCTAAGCAAGTACCATAAGGTATGAAAGCAGACATTTTAAGTGTGCTAATAGCAGATAACATATGCTTCCATGATAATGCTAATAGTGCCCTGCTTTATTTTGTATCCTATTGTCAGTTAGGTGCCTTCTTCAAAAGTTAAAAGACGACAGGAGAACCAGGTCTGAATGTCTCTGTCATGCCTGACTACCAACGTATCGTGCTGGAGCGGGCAATTCTTCCAGGTCACACAGAGGTGTTGGAATAAGCACAAATCGATGCTCTTGACCTGTTTTGCTAGCTCAACTCAGAGAAAACCTTTAGGCATTCTTTATTACTGACAACTCTGATCTAGCCTTATGAGGGACTGGCATCATAAGGGTCCAATGCTGTGCAAATGAAAAACTGGAATTATTTCTCTCTTACCTGAGGCACACCAATCTTTCGGCAAGCTTCTAGGAAATTTTCCACATTTCGTCTACACTTGGCCATGGTTAATTTAGGCTGCGTAAAAGAGGAAAAGAAGATAAGAGTATTCTTCATCAGCAGTGTCTTGACTGAGAGCTCTCCCACTTCATCAGCTCCATTCTTTCTTGCCATGTGCCCGCTACACCTACAACGGCTCTCTCCAATTCTAGACTTTTTACTCCTTGTTGTCCAAATTCTCTCCTCACTACCCACAATTCATAACATCATCTTCCAAGATGAGGCAAATGCCCAGGTGGCCAGGAAAACTGGAGATCTGGAAACACGCTGTGGCAAGAGTCAGGGTTCTTGTAAAGCAGAACGGCATCGCTCACCCTAGAAAGCAGAGGTTCTAGACTCAAGGTCCACACACCCCTTTATTATACGGCATTTCAATACTGCTTGCATTTCTTGTGGAATATTGTTCACAAATCAGTGCATCAACAGTTTGCTGCAATGTTTAAAAGATATCTGAAGACGTGGATCTCTAGGTACATTGATATTTGATCTTTCCAAGATGACTGGAGAACTGGCTCATGGTTCAGTGCCCTCTCACATCCAATCCAGGGTGGACTGGTTTAAATTGCCAAAAAAGATGCTCCCAATTTAAATCAAAGACCAAAATCCTATGGCCCTTGGCATAGCATAACCTTATACCTGAAGAAGTTTAGGCAGAGTTTTGTTCAGGCAGTCCATATGTCTGATAGCACAGCTAGCCGCCTAGATTGGTCGTAATGACCAGATAG